GACTGAGAGAGGCAGATGACCTCTTATCAGAGACAGTGGAGTGTTCAAGGTCATACCAGCTGGAGAATGTGAGAAGAAGGGGGCGGTAGGGGGGTGAAGGGGGAGAGAAGGAAAAAAGGTAAAAACAACTTTTGGCGCGCAGGGGCTCAGTCTTAGCAATACTTTGGGACTGTACATTTATTCTCAATAAATGAACTTTCTTTTGAACCATGACTGGCTGCAAAGAGAGTTACTGGAATTGGGAGCTGTGAGTGTCAGGTCGTTACACAACCATTCATCCCCCTTGCACAAGTGGAAGAAAGTCAAATCCATGCTTAGTTCATAAGTGTTGTAGCAAAGAAAAATGTTATTCGAAAGCAATTGCTAATGCGAGAGAGGAACACATGGCTTCCCTTTTTGGTAAAGTCCTTTATGGTCAACACATTCAGTGCCATATTCATACAGTATCAACTAAAACATTTTCAGGCTTCAAGCAAACCATGAACATTTTTTATTATCAGTATAGAAACTAGTTTCTACTGCCTTCTCTTGTCCTTGTAACTGTCCATTCATCATGCACCAACTGCTCAATTATCACTTGCACAGTCTTTCTGAGGGGCACCCTATTATCATTGTGAAGAGGTCAAACACAGTAGACACTTTATAAATGGTAACAAAAATCAAAATGGCTCCAGCATGCTAAACAGTGCATCCAATCTCTAACCTTTGCAAGCAGTCCAGAAAGATACCATCATCAGTGGTATGAAATGTTCAGAGAGGTCTTACAGGACCTGGGGGAATGCACTCCCTTCATCTTGGTCCCAATAAAGGTCATGGATCATAGCAACCAAAGCCCCTTTCTGTGTTCATTTTTCAAGTGATAAAAGGAACTTCAGTTTTTAGAATCTATCAAATTCTGCAAGACAAAGATGTAAAGGCCTGAAGAGAAAAACAGGAAAAAATTAGCTTTCAGGTCACCATTCCTTCAACAAAAACCTCCAGTGGATCTGAAGGCCTTCTAGTTGGCTGCAACCAGATAAAGCCACATGAAAGCAAATGTGTAGCTATAGCTCCTTGATCTTAGCCAAAAACTATAACTTGTGCAGTATATTGGTCTATGGTTATTCTTTCCCATAATGTTAATTTCTGTAAAGTTTGCATTTTCCCCCCAAACTCAATTCACTTTCTCTATAACTATATAAAACAGTTCATATATTAATGTCTTTCTACCTTAGCTCCCATTAAAAAGTATTTATTCATTGCTTTCCTACAAAACTATTCCTCTAGTAACTTTCTAATTCTCATTTGATTCAATGTAACCCATTTTTTAAATTTTACAATCCATAAATATATTAAAATGTCCAAAATCTACTTTTTAATTAGATTACACTCTAGGTTCCTAAACCAATTTCCCTAAATGATGGAATTGTCTGGATTTAGCTTAATACTAAAGTCATTTATGTTTGTTTTAGTCATTGTTCAGTGCCATCAAGTCAGGCCAACCCTTCCAGCAACTGTATGAAGAAACCCTGCCACTTCATCTTGGCTCTAGTGATTATCCATAGGTTTTTCAAGTATGTATGTTATCTCCTTGAACTTGTCCATTTACCTTATCTGCTATTTTTCCCTATTTCCTCCAATTTTGCCAAATATACCTTTTTTCCTACCCCCATCATCTGGTCATATGCCCAAAATATGTGAGTTTCTGCTTGCTGATCATTGCCTCAAGGCTTATTGTTCCAGGACCTATTGCTTGCTCCTTCTTGCTCTTTCTGGTAGGGGTAGTCCTTGATTATGACCATTCGTTCAGCAACCAAAGTTACAATGATGCTGAAAAATGGACTTACAACTGGTCCCCAAAGTTATGGCCATTGCAGCGCCCCTGCGGTCATGTGATCACGATCTGAGTGCTTGGCAACCCGTTTGCACTTACAACTGGTTGCCAAGCACCCCACAATCACGTGATTGCCATTTGCAGCCTTCCCTGCCGGCTTCCCACAAGCAAAGTAAATGGGGAAGCTAGCAGGGGAGGTTGCAAGTCAGTCGGGTAAGTCTCCCCAACCCACCTCAGCCCTTCTTCACTCACACGCACTGCACTTTCCTTCCCCCTCTGCTCGCTTGTGCTGCTCATACACAGCACAACCACTTGCATGCATCTCACCCCCTTTGCGCTACGCTGTGGCTCTGGGGTTTTACAGGAGGAAGAAGCAAGCCTCACAAACAGCCAGCAGCTTCCAATGTGAGCTGCAGAGCGTGCACCAGAAGCACCCCTGGAGAGTCCTTCAGTGCCCGGAAGCGCCCCTGGAGAGTCCTCAAGTGAGCAAAGGAGGGAAGGAGTGTGTGGTGCGTGTGAGTGAGCGAAGGGGGAAGGAGGGCCAAGAAGTCCCTGAGCCACAGCATGGCAAGCAGCCCCAGAGCCATGTGGTTCTGGGGCTGCTTGCCACCCCACAAGGCAAGGTGTAAGGCAGCCAAAAGGGCAGAGATGGGGGAGATAGCTGGGTGGGTGGAGTTGGAGGCAGTCCCTTCCCTTACTGAATCTCAAGGCTGGGGGGGTCCAAGCCAGAATGGCTTGTATTTGGATGGGTCCTCAGCCAATGATCAGTGGAATTCACTTAACAATGGCAATGGGGAGTGCCGGGATTGCCATCACTAAGCGATGCAGTCACATGATGTCTTGCTTTACAACCATATTGCTTAGTGACAAAAATTCCAGTCCTAATTGTGGTTGTAAGTCAAGGGCTACTTGTACTCTTAATAACCATCTCCAAAGCCATAAATCAAAGGGAGTTCTCGTTTTCCTGTTGCTCTGTCTTTATATCCAGCTTTCGCTGCTGTAAAGGACCACTGGGGGAAAAATATCTTTGTTCTGTTACTGCCACAGAAATATCCTCATCTGTCATGAATTAGTATGAATTTTGCCACTGCCTTTCCTCTCCAGAATTATTTGTCTCCAGCACACTATCCATTTTTTAAACCTAAATAAATAAATAAATTCCAAGTTTCTATTGCCTACAGTTCTTCACTATTAATTGTGAGTCGTAAAATATACACGGATTATTTTTGTCAACTTAAAATTTAGCCCTGAGGTTTCATTTTCTATTTTTACTTCCATCATGAGCTCTTTTAGTCTTCCTAATGTACTGCTAAAGAAGTCCTATTTACTGCATATCTCAATATAGGACTACATCACTCCAACAATAATCTTTTTCATATCTTACAATATCCTGTTTTTCCAAATTCAGTTCTTACAGTAGCTTGTTTATTGTAAGGTTTTCTCAGAAAAGTGATGTAATGGTATGTGGGAATGACCTTGAGAGACGAGGGGAAGAGATGCTGCCTAGGGAACAATCAGATAAAAGGGGGAGGAGCCCGCAGCTGAATAACAGGCAGAGAAGGAGATTTAGAAAGGATCTGTCCTAACTTATCAGGCTGTAAAAAGAGATGGTGGGAGATTTGTATTTTCAGACTTGCAAGATTCTGTTAATGTAGCCTTACAATAAAATAGAATTAGCTCTTGTGTTTCCTGTCTGGTCTACCTGGGAGGCTGACAAGTAATCAGGTGTCCCAGCACATCCAATAGCCTTAATTGATTCCAAATCTAGCGTGATCTACACCAGAGGTTGGCACACTATGGCCCACAAGCTAAATCTATACCACTGCCTGTATTTGCACAGCCCGTGAGCTAAGAATGAACAGGCAGGTGACATGGGCCTACCAGTGGCCTCCTTGCTGATAAGCCAGCGCCATCCAATGGCTGCCATGCTCCTTGGGCTGCAGACCTGCTAGCCACACCCACAGAGGCGGGGGGGCAGGATCTGGCTCTTTACAGAAAAAGCTTGCTGACCCTCTGTCTACACAATCAAAAGCCTTGCTGCGATCAATAAAGCAAAAGTAGTTGCCTTCTGAATTTTTAAAAATTATCTGTATTTATTTACAATATTTTACACCAGACACTTGCCTGGGACCAACAACATGGTGAAATAATATTTTTAACCAGATTGTGGAATACAAGGCGACAGGGTACTATACATACCTTGTCCCTGGCATGGAGCTACAACAGAAAATTTCCTGGGGAGGAGGGACTCTCAGCAGGCCCTCTGTGTTTATACTGGGCAGGCAGAATCAATTTTGGCAAGATGTAGCTCTGCCATCTTAGCTGCCAGCCATCAGCTTCACTTGGAAGCTTCTCTCCAAGCTTATCTTCCCCAGAATCTTGAATAGTGTTTAAAAACTCCACCTCTCATGCTGATACTGATACCAGCCCATCTGCAGCTCCACCTTCTATGACAACTTTCCTGTGAGAATCTAAACTAGCCCTACTCTTAGTTCCCTATCAACAAAGTAACCAGAGTTTTGTCTGGGTGTTTTTATGGATGCACTAAGCCCCAGCAAAATGCGATGACAGACAGCAGGCTCATCACAGTACTTGTATTTACATCAATACTTTCTAATCTCTGTATCAATGTCATATCCATATTATTTGACACAGAGTGGTTAATACATTAAAACTTTGGAAGAATAGAAAATTAAACAGTTCAATGGGTATTTCATCAGTACTTTCCTATTTGACAGCTTGCCTCTTGTTCACCTTCTATTGGAATTAGTTCCTATGTATCTTTTCATTCTACAAGCATTTATCATTTTAGAATCCCATTTGTAAAGAGTATAATTTTTCTATTGCTCATCATGTTTCTATATTTTCCATGATTACTCATGAGTAGTCCTATCTTAGCTATATATTTTTTTATTTCTCTTGTCTTCTTAAAACCTTTTCAAAACACTCATCTATTTGTTGATATTCTTCATGAAATATTTTTCCTTGTCCTTTCTTACTGGATGTTTAAAGTCTGTGTTGACTCTTACATCTTTGTTGTTGCCCAAGACTTTCATCTTTTGGCTTTCCCTGGCTATGATAGCTTATTTTGAAAGCCAATTGGATTCTTTTTGAAATGTTGGGGGGGGGGGTGTTTCCACTTCATATGAAACTTTCTAATGAAAAATCTAATACAGCATGTTCACGCTTGATTCCCTAATAAACAGGTCTTTTATTTTTATGCAAGAAAAATCACATTTTCCAATCCCCCAGTAAATAAACTCCCTATTTCATTTTTATTACAAAATTATCTTAACATTGGGAACACACAAGAAAAAAACACAATATCGAAGCAATAATTGTAACACTTAAGGCAAATACCATACTGCAGAATACAACAAGGTATCAAAAGGTACAAGTTAAAGTGTAGGGCAGATTCATATTTTTTATACTGTGAACTCCAACATGCACACATCCAAAAAGATGTGATATATATATACACTGTTGGGAGACATGATTCCCCCAGTGAATACTAAGGGTTACATCCAACAACACATAAGAAAACTACTCATTGCCATTGGATTCCCTTGGTCTCCTTCCCCCATGTTTAGATCTGCACCCAAAGTGCTTCTAGAACAACTTTGGTCATATGTATTAGTGTACAAAGAGAAGGGAGACTCTAAACTCTCAGGAGTGTCCATTCCACATGTAAATTAATATAACTGGAGACAGTCCAGTTCAAAAGCTGTAGTAATAGTTGTAGTTCATTATCAAGTAAGAATAAGAATCCTTAAAATGATCCCAGCCATCAACACAATTCAAATCACCATTTACTATAGAAATATTATTATTGCATTTTAATTATATGTTGAGTCATTTTGCACTTAAAATCATCTAATTCTGGCAAATATTACCAGTGAGTATTTTGATCAAGAGTTTTAAAAATTATTAAAATTTCAATCTGCAACATTATTTCTCCAATGCTAGTCACAGTAAGGCTTTTTTGAATAGAAAGCACTGGTACCATCCTTTAGAGATAATTAGCACTCTGGTTTTTGTTTACATGCAGACAATATTTAATTTGAAGAAAATCACTTTTTCAGTTAGCCTCCCTAGCCTGATTATCTCTAGATGTTATGGTTTTAAATTCCTATAATCTTTGTCCAACACAACCGAAGGTCTTGCTGATTAGGAATTAAGAATGTTACAGTCAAACACATCTAGAAGGCACAAGTTGGAAAAGGTGGCTTCAGTGCACATCACCACCTCTTGACAGATTTGGAATTTTCAATTAAAGTTGTGTCCAATGTATCTTAACAATTTCCTGTAAGTTAATTTTTTAAAGATACTATCAGTTTTTTTTACTAATTTATACTTTATAACAGAATATCTCTGAGGGATAGTTTCTTAAACAGTTTTTATTTTAAAACTGATTCATCCAAAGAAGTTACATAAACAAATCAAGTACCATAGTATCATGCCATTTAAATATAAGGTCACTTAATAGTGCAGCTGTGATGACAACAGACACACCACTTTATTTATAATTCCATACCTGAAAATGCAGGTGAGAGAAGCAATCCAGTTTGCATTTTGAACTGATCAAGTTCCTGAAGCACAAATTCACCTTCTCTACCCATTAAAGTTTGCAGTGGACTGCAACATTTTAGAAACCCCAAAACCGGCCATGGGATTCTCTTTCTCTTGGGATTGCATGTGACCTTCCTCCTGCCTTTCAAGTCATGTCCTGAGATTATACTTCATCTTTGCTAAACTTGATAAGCATTCTTAAACCCCAACTTTTTCAATCCACAGAGTTAACTATTGTATCAGTACAAGCCCAAATCTCTTTCAGCAAGTATTTCTATTGTAAAAAGTGCTTCTGAGCAAAATTTTAAAATACATCTTTCTTAATTTAACCATGACTGTGGTCATGTAATTATTTTTTAAAAAATCATTCTTTTTGTTAAATAGGGTAGAATACACCTATATTTAGGATGCAGTTGAAACATGTGGAACTGTGAGTTAGAAATGCAGAGGTCTGCTAGGATTGATTCCCTGGATTTATCTTGTTTCCAGAGATGACATCAATTGAAGATTCTTATTCTTCAGCCTCTTGTAGTACAGTAACACAGATAATAAACATCTTGTGAGCAAACAGTATGAGAAAAATACATAAGTTCCATTTATTCATTCTAATTAGAGTTTTCACTTTCCTGAAGAAACATTAAAATAAGAAATGAAGGAAACATTCTACTTCGTCTTTTAGTCACTCATGGTGAAATAAATGGGCTCCATTCCTCTTGAGTAGCTGCCATTTTCCTCATACTATAAAGTAAAATGGCCTTACTTAGAATTCAGCAAACTTCTCACCACTATTGAAATACCGTATGATCTTAAAGTTGAAATTCCTGGTTTCCTAAAATCCTTTTGCACTAAAATATGACAACTTAATCATTTTTACTTGAACTCTTTTGTCTTTGGGATCTGATGGCAAGCACAGGAGAACTAATTGACAAATTCCCTGAAGGAGGATGGCTGGAGATGGTGGCAGTCAGTTCTCCTCGAATTGTCTTAGAGGTCTCTATGACAGAGTTCTGTAGTGTGTCATTCATCTCAATTACTTCAAAGTCTACTTCATTCCATTCTCTGACTTCATTATCCTCATCATCATCTTCAGGATAAGTGTTGGACAATAATGCTTCTTGAACTTCCCTGTCTCCAGCATCCTTCAACTTAGCATCATAAGGCGATGTCGCTAATTTATATATCACAGGGAACAGTACTGCTGTCATGACACCCGCTCCCAATGCAGCATACATGAGCACTGGGAGAGTAGGAAAATATCCTTGAAGGAAGCCAACCACTGCAGGAATACACATTTCTCCCAGAGCTGCACCCATTACAAACATTGCTGCAGATTTCCCTTGAACAGTAGTATACTGCTCCATCCAGGAAATACCACTAGGAAAGATAGTAGCCATTGATGCACCATACACCGCAGACCCAATCCATAGAGCAATTGAATGTGTATTGAAGAGGACCAAGAACAGGGCTGACACAGTGGAGCCTATGATACTCATCAGGATCATAGATCCAGGATAAGAGCAGGTAGCAAAGCAGATTGCTAATCCTCTGCAAGCAGCAAATGTTCCCCAAAATAGAGAGTTCAACCCTGCTGCTTCTGCTTCTTTCATAACAGCATAGGTTTTTGCATAAGTAAAAATGTAGGAGCCATAAGTTACCTCCGCTCCTACATACCAAAAAAAAAACACAGAAAGAAGAATGATGAGAGCATGGTGATATTTCGCAATTTGGTATTTCTGCACGGAAGGCTTTGTTCTGCCTCGAACAGGAATGCTCCTCAAATATAAAGTAAAGAAAAACAATGCGACAAGTAAGAGATAAGTGCCAATCACAGCATACGACCATACAAAATTCAAGTTTAAATGAAGCTTCGGCAACAATGTAGCACCACGAGAATTCATAGCTGACTGATTATCAGCACTGCCACCTAGATGCATCTGCAATCCAACAGTAGAACCACCAAGTGCCATTTTCGCCAGGATGGGAGCCACAAAAGCACCAAGGGCAAAACTGAAATGCAAGGCCTGTATGTGTGGACCAGCTTCTGCTCGCCACGTGTCCAAAGCAAGAACATTCCCACCTGAAAAGTAAATAAAAGATTCAGGGTCAAATTTTCACATTAAGAGTTTCTTAGAGTTACATGACATCTTCACTACACACATGCCATTCTCTTCATATTCCAACTTTTATCTTGTCAAGTAGGTACTACGCTTTTGCAATTGTTTTCACTAAAGCAATCTTCTCCCTCACTCTCCTGTTCCTTTATCATTCCAGGTCATTCCTGTTTTCAACTGTTGGGAAAATAACCATAAAGTCAACAAATCCATATACCAAGGGCAGGGAAACATGTGATCCTCCAGATGTTGCTGGACTCCAATTTCCATCAGACCAAATTAATGTGGACAGGAATGATTTGAACTGGAATCTCTAGAGGCCAAAGCTGTCTATTGTTAAGATGTACCAGGGCTGGGGAGATCCAAATTCAAATCTATCCTCAGCCATGGAAGTTCACTGGATGACTTGGGGACAGTTATTGTTTCACAGCCCAAACTATTTCCCAGGACTGCTGAGGAGAAAAACTGAAGGAAAAAGCTGCTGAGAAAAAGCAGAATATAAATCTAACCAAAAATAATACAGTAAGTTCCACAAAAACTGCCGTTCACCTGATACTCTCCTATTCTTACAGAAGAACCATCTCTTCTGTATGCTCTCTCAGTCTTTTGATTTCTTTAAATTTCTTTTCTTATGGCTACATTTTCCTATATATTATATTTCAACGAAACACAACTTTGGAAGTGGCCATTTAGAATATCAATTCCAGCTCCTTGCTAAGTGCAGGAATCCAAATTAAACCGTTGTGTCCATCTTAAACCCAGTGAAGGGAAGCCCACCACTTTCCTGGGTAACTGGTTCCATTATTCCACTAAGTGTTCTTACAGCTCAAGAAGTTATTTCCAACTTTCAGTTGGAATTTTCCTTGCTGTAACTTAAACACATTATTTATTTATTTATCATATTTTATAGCTCCCCATCTCACACAAGGTGACTCTGGGCAGCATTATTCTGTATCCTGCACTCTGGAATAATAGAAAACAGGCCTTGATCTTCCAACTATCTACTCTTCTGGTATCTGAAGAGTATTATCATATCCTCCCTCCTTCTTCTGCAAGGTAAACATTCTTAATTTCTTCAAACTCATCCCTGAATATATTTGTTTCTCCAAATCCTTAAAGTACACTGTTCAGAACTGGACATTACACAAGCTGGAGATTGTAGAAATGCAGAATAAAGTGGAACTATTATTTTCCATGATTTCTAAGCTATACTTCTGTTCATTTAATATCCACTTAAAGGTTTAGCAGGGTCAGACCAACTTAGACTACCAAAGAACTATAGGGCTGTATGTTATCTGGCAAGCCAATTCCATGCTGTTGTCAAAAAAACTGCATGAAGGTGCCCATGTAGTCACCAAGAGTCACAAGAGCATCTTTATCTCATTTGCAGTCACATCACATTTTTGAGTCACATTCATTCTTCATATCTCCCATCATAGGCCCTATACATTTCTGTTGTCTTAAGTGAAGAACACTGGCTTTTTCTTGGTTTAAATTTGTTTTGTTAATTTCAGCCCATTTTGGTAACTATCAAGACTATTTCTGCCTTCTAGAATATAAATTCTTCCACCCAAGTTTGTATCAGCCACCTAGTCACTTTAGTCTCCCCTCTCCACCATCTTCACTGTAGTTGACCAGTATTAGTTGAGTTGCTTCAGACATTTGGTTTCTAAAATTTTACTTTCTCTTCTCCTTTACTGTCTTGATGGTCTGTTCTTGGCCCCTAACTATGCTGCCTTAGCATATTGCCTGTGACTTTCTCAATATATGGTGACACTGTAACAGGAGTCATATTTTCTATCAAGCATTCCTTTCCTTCAATTTGATATCTGTCCATGAACTCTGGTAAACAGGCTGCCAAGCACTGAAAATCTGTAGAGAGTAAGGAAGATGATCTTGATATGCAGTTCTCTATCAAAGCCATCTTCCTTACTCTCTAGACAATCTTTGTCTTTCTCCCTTGGTCTCTTGCTCAGTCCTAGTCTGAGTCACCTCTCCATGTCTCTACCACAGAACTATAGCATTTCTCTTGATCTCCTCAGCAAAAACAATGGTGTCCTGTAAGCTCTAGCCAGAACATTGCTGAAGAACTTCAATCACCAATAATTGAAAGTTGGATTTATCACATAGTTGAACTATATTTTCAGTCCACAGAATACCCCAAAACAACTTGGTCACATCAACTGGGCGTGACAACACCCATGTAGACAAAATTCTCTATAATATATCTTGTTCCTTTCAATGAATGCATCCCATCTGCATGAGCATGTATGCAAAGAAATCTTTCTATATAAATATCAACTATCTCAGGATTAAAATACATATAGTTCTTAGTCTCTAAATGTCCCCCCCCCCAAAAAAAAGAGCACACAACAGGAAAAGGCAAATATAACCAAGTGGTCAAATTTAGTTTGGCCTTTGGTCAAGTAAGGAAATATGCAGATTCAAATGCTTTGTGCATAAGATACACACTTAGCAATATAAACATAATTTATATAAAGGAATGCAACACAGTCCTGTTGAATGATCCCAACATGATGGAAGGAAAATGTTGATCATGTATTTAGTAAGGGTTCTTTTCTCTTTTTTTTACCTGTATCCAGGACTCCCATTGCAAAACCAATGACAGACATCACGGCTGTTAACAAGAGGGCTTTCTTACACCATGGAATACTATATAGACCTATTGTTGTACCCAGCATAGATAAGCCTATAAACAGAAATAATTAAAAATGTATTTCAAATAGAACATTTTAAGAATTAAAACTGCTCATATTTCATTCTAAATCCAGTAAATTCAAAGCCAGTAAATTTTTGATTTGTATTTACAATTATTACTGAATCATGAAGAAATACAGCTTATTTAATGTAGCAATCTTATATCAAATGCAGGCATGTTTTAGGCTGCAATCATATGCATTTATAACTTGGAATAACTCCCACAGAACTCTATGGGGCTTCCTTTTGAATAGTACATTTTGGTTGCCTTATTAGTTTCCAGAAAGATGCTCAATGTCTAGAAAGCACTGCTTCAATAGTTTAGCAATATAGAAGCATAGAAAACAATTCACTTACTCAGATTGGAAATTGTTTGTCATCCTTCCCCAAATCCTGACCTCTTCAGAATTCTGAAAGTTTGTTTATTTGTATGCTGTCCATTCCCAAAGACTCTAAGTGGCTAACAATCACAAACTTCATAAAGTAACCCCTCTAACAACAACAAAAATAAATTCATCCAAAATGAATAAAAAATCCCAAGATGCTATCATAAGAGATAAAGCAAAGCATATGAAGTCATGTGTCCACCACTACATCCACATTCATAACAAGCTTTCCTTCTCAGCTACAAGGAAAAGCCAATTTTTTTCTCCTCTCCCAAAACCCAGGAGGGAAGGGGTTGACTGGATCTCCACAAGAAGGGACTTCCAAAGCATAAGAGCAGCAATTGCAAATGCCCATTTCCTAGGTCCTATCAGATGGCATTCTTGAAGAGGTGGAACCTGGAGGGAGATTACCCTATTTGTCCTGATTGGATGGGAAGAAACCTGGAAGAAGGTGGTCCCTCAGATAACCAAATCTGGAGCCATGAGAGCCTTAAAGGTGACAACTAGCACCTTGAACTGCATTCAGAAGCCAACTGGCAACCAATGCAACACCCAAAGCAGTGGGGTCACCCAAGTATAATGGGAAGTAGCCATCACTGACCAGCCTACCATGTTTTATACTGTTACTTCCAAATGCTTTTCAAGGCAGCCCCATGTCCAGTTTGTTACAGTAATCAAAATAGGAGGTGGCCAGGGCATGAGTGATTGTGAGCAGAGCTTCCTGATTCAGGAATAGTACACAAAATGGAGCTCTGGAAAAACCAATTCCAAATACAACTGAAGGGCACTAGACTAAGGAAGGAAGCCTTAGAGAATATAAGAGCTTAGACTGAATATTCAGTAGCATTTGTATGTAATACAGTAATATCTCGGTTCACAAACGCTTCTGTTCGCGAACAATTCGGTTCGTGAACAGCAGTGTTCGCAAAATTTTGATTCCATTCACGAATTCCGCATCGGGTGACGAACACGACCCGTGGCCATTTTCCCTGCTCGTGGTCATGGCTTCCTCTAGGCGAGATCACGGTCGCAGACAGACAC